GAGAGAGAGAGAGAGAAACTAGCAGGAAGGGAGTTAAACATGTAGCTAGAAAGAAGGGAGAGTAAGAGATAGTGATTAAAAGCAAGAGAGCTTAACGAAAAACAAAAATGGTGAACAATTTAGAGGATGAAGGTAATGGGTTCCGGACAAAATGGAGATGAATTTCTATACCTGAAATAAGCGAACTGATCTTTCTTCGTCCTCCTCCAATTCATCTACTTTTGCCCTAGAGTAATTCTCAAGAGGATAATATGAAAAGATGAGAGGTAAAAGAGCAATTCCAGCAATGGTGAACCTCCTCATGCTAAAATGACAAAGATTTCGAGTTTCACGACTAAGCTTAGAGATAAAAGAGAGAGAAGGGCGGGAATTTGAGCAAATAACCAGGCGGGGTACAACGCCCGCCATTTTCTTAGAAAAACACCCCTCAAAAGGCTTCTCTCTCTCTCTCTCTTAAACTTTCAAAACACTTACTCTCTCCAACGAACTGCCATTCCAATCTCAAAATCGAAGTGCGAAAAAATCCACTCCGATCTCGCCAATGGAGTAATTTTGCAGTGTGATCTCGCGAGATTACGGTATACATTAACCACTCCCATAAATTAGGAAATTTATGTTTGTGATTTGTATAAGGCTGCAACTCCAAAACTTTTTCATAACATGCAATTTTGGCGTCGATAATTCTTAGGATACCTTAAGAATTTACTTTTATATCTAATTATAAAATTTGAAATTCCAAAATAGTTCAAATCAAATAGATTTATAATTCTTAAGATAGCTTAAGAATTTGTTTTCATATATAATTATAAAATTTTAAATTCTAAAAAAGATTCAAATCAAGTAGATTAATAAAAATAAATACATGAGAAACTTGAAAATGGACGGTCCAAATAACATATTGTAAGATGTACTATTTTTTAACTTAAAATAATTAGTTTTCCTATATCCAATCACCTATATGTTGAGATAATCAATTAAATAGTGTAACAATATCAAAACAGCTATAAAAAAACTTCCTTTATCAAAATAATTATAAGAGATTAATTATTTAATATATACCCATCGGCAACTATTCCAAGTCAAGATTCTTATGAGCTATTTAACATTGTTCCAATTGACAACTATTCCAAATCAAGATCATGTGTTTTTTATGGGTAAAATTAAATAAAAAAATAGAAGTAAGGTGTTAAATAGTTGATCTCTTATGGATAAAATGATAAATGACAGTTTTTATGAGTTGATTAACACATCTATTCTATATGAGTCCTTCCGCCAAAATCTACCTTTGAGATGGATTTTGGATCCAAAAAATTCAAGAATTGACATTTTATACCATGGTGTGCATGAATATAAAAAATTAATTTTAAAAATAAAATAAATATTTTTTATGTATTCGGGAAAGTATGTCTTCAAATTAGGGAAAAAAATAAAAAATTTAAAGATCTAAACCATATTAAATGTATTAAGAACGAGGATCAAAGGGTTTTGGTGAAGGATGATGAGGTAAACGAAAGATGAGAATTTATTTTCAAAAATTATTAAATGATGAACACAATGGGAACATAGTGGTAGAAGGAACTGTTAGTACAAATGAGGACAGAGGTCATAAATACATTCGTAGGATTAAGATATTAGAAGTGAAAGAAGTTTTGAAAAGGATAAAGATAGAAAAGGCTTTAAGACCAGATGATATCCCGATAGAGGTTTGAAAATGCATGGGGGAGATTGGCATTGGCTAGTTGACAAAGTTGTTCAACAAGGTGTTACGAACAAAGAAAATGTCAGACAAATGGAATAAACTTATTATGGTACTTATTTATAAGAAGAAAAGAGACATATAAAATTGTGCAAACTATCGAGGGATCAAGCTGAGTCATACTATGAAGCTCTGGAAGAGAGTGATTGAGCAATGACTAAGGCATAAAACAAATGTATCTAAAAACAAATTTGGTTTTATGCCAGGAGGGTCAACAAATGAGACTATTTTCCTACTTAGGCAACTGATTGTGAAGTTTTGGGTGAAGGGAAAATACATCCACGAGGTCTTTATTGATCTAGAGAAAGCCGATGATATAATACCTTGAGATTTGATTTGATGGGTATTAGAAAAGAAATAAGTCTTCTAACATTAAATTGACTTGCTGAGAGATATGTACCTTCTAACATTAAATTGACTTGCTGAGAGATATGTACGATGGAGCGCTAACTAGTGTATGAATAACTAGTGGAGAGACAAGTGAGTTTTAAGTGATAATAAGTCTATATCAAGGGTCAGCATTGAGCATGTACTTCTTTGTCTTAATTATGGACGACTTAACTCGGTACTTACAGGATAAGGTATTGTGGTGCATGTTGTTCGCAGATGACATAATTTTGATCGATGAGACTTGAAACGGTATCAACACAAAGTTAGAATTTTAGAGGTAAGCTCTAAAATCCCAAGGTTTTAAAATTAACCGGACTAAAACATAGAGTATATGGAATGCAAATTTAATAATAATAGGAGTAGAGACGATGAAGTAGTTACGATTGACAACTATGAAGTTTAAAAAACAACCGATCTTTCGATATCTTGAGTCGATCATCCAGGAAACTTGAGAGATTGAGGAAGATGTCGTACGCAGAATTAGAGCTGGGTAAACGAAGTGGAGATGTGCAACTGAAATTTTATATGATCGTCGCATACCAATGAAGCTGAAGGGCAAGTTCTATAGGACGGCTGTGAGACTAGCTTTTTTCTATAGGGCGGAATGTTGAGCAGACAAAAACAATATGCCCATAAAATGAATGCAACAGAGATGAGGATGTTGAGATGGATGGGTGGCAAGGCAAGAAGAAATAGAATTTGAAATCAATTCGTTCAAGAGAATTTAGGTGTGACACCAATAAGTGATAACATGAGAAAGAGTAGACTCAGGTAGGCTAACCATGTGTAGCGCTGACCAAGTAGAGCCCCCTGTTAGGAGGTACGAGTTAGTTCATATGTAAAGACTAAAAACATCAAAGGGTATGCCCAAAAGGACATGGTTAGAATTAATCTGAAAAGATATGGAGACTTATGACCTCATTGAAGGTATAACTTCTAATAGTGTGGAATGACGAATCAAAATTCGCATAACCAACCCCAATTAATTAAAAAAACGCTATGATGATGATGATAACTTGGCCGAGAGTATCATGTACACTAGTTTGGACTTAGTACCTTCCTTACGTCTAAATCTGAAATAGCTTTGCGTTCCTTACCTCTAAACAAGAAACAACTTTGCATTCCTTACCTGCAAATTGAAACAAGCAAGTGGTCTTTGTATTGATTTTGATGGAAAGATGAGAAGTAGGTTTGCAAATAGTCTTTGTATTGGTTTTGTTAAAGATGAGAGGATAAATATGATCTAAATTTCTTTGGTGTAATTTTATTAAACTCACATCAACATTATTGGTTAAACTCTCACATTACTGTTCTTTAAAATAGTTTATCAAATAAGATTATTGATTATTTCCTACTAAGCTCACTTTAGCATTCTTTAAAATAATTCCTCAAATGAGATTAATTCCAAACTACGCAAAAGCTTGAATCAGTGCAAACCTTAAACGTGGTTGCTTTCAAACGTGAAAACGATTGCTTTAATCCTGATGGCTTGCTATCATATTTGTGTGGTGTCTTAAAGTGTTGATATCTTTTCCGCTTGAATTTTTCTTTTTGGGGAAATCAATGGGGGAGAAGGCACAAAACACTACTGCATAAGTGCACTTAGTAATATGTCTTGTGTATTGTGTACCGTGCATAATACGAAACACTCAATATGCACTATGCATGTGGAAAGTGTAGGCATGTTGCCCGCAGTTATGACGAACGTTGTGCACCCGCGCATCATGTTATTGCACTACGTTCCTCAAAACACATGCACACGAAGCACTACATAGTAGCACTTAGTACTCAGTCTTGTATATTGTGCATCGTGCAAATCACTCAATGAGCAATGTAGCGATGATGCTGAGGCCTATATCTCTTCCGCCAGTTTGGGTCTCAACAACTTGGTCTTCCTGCCATAGAAAATTTCCAAGTACCAAAGGTTCTTCTCTATCAAGGGTATCAGGTTGTTATCGATCATTTTGTAGCTCAGTGGGCTGAGCGCCACTAGACGAGAGAGGCAGCCCGTTTTCATTATTAAAAATGAAAAAAATACATATCATAACCTTACAACCCCATAATATGGGAATTGTCGTAGGGAACCAGTGCCAAATCATGAAGTAAATGAACAGGAAAAAAATCTGGCAGTCTAAAATGCTAAATTGTAGCATCATAAAAAGAGGTGGCCTTTCAAATGTATCTACTATCATGTTGGCCTTGCAATAAATGTGGGAAGTAGACCACCTACCATTTGAAAGGTTATATTGAAAGTTGGATGCTTTCAATGGAGTGTCCATGGAGCTCTACAGCTGCCTCGAATGACATTGATAAGTAGGGATGGATCACTTTCGATTTGCAATGGGAAACAGTCGAGTTGAATGGCTAAGTAAATACCTTTTTCAAAGCATAAAATTCTGCATAGTTGTTAGTGGCAATACATAAAATTCTGCATAGTTGTTAGTGGCGATACTAAAAAATGTGGTAAAAAAGCAATAAAGGCATCACTGCAGTCTCTCACACCACCACCTCCACTTGCCATTCACGGATTCTAAAAAGAAGCCATGCCACCATTGATGCCACCATTGAGTTTAAAATGTTGAGGATGTGGGGCCCAAGATTTGGCATCTACTGAGTCGTGAACATGATAAGTGATCATTCTTAGCAATTTCTCTCTCCTTGAAACCTGCATCTGAAAAATTATATGGTTGCACTCGTCCCATATAAACCAAACTGTGGTGAAAACAATATATTTATAGAACATTGATTTACCCAAAAAAATAAATTTAATTGAACCAAATTGAATTTGATGGGAAGAATTTTGTTTAAAAACATAAACTTAATGAGATAAAGTTTTAATTTTTTCATCATAACAGTTTAATCATAACGGAAAACACTTTAACATCATGTAATATTATAACATGTATTCAATTGTCATGGTGGTGGAAAAAAGTTCATATATGTTAATATTTTTCTTTAAAAAAGAATCATCATCATCAAAGTTTTTTTTTCAATTAATTGGAGTTGGTTACACGAATCTTGGTCTGTCATTCTACTTTATTAAGGGCTATCTTTAAAAAATAATAATAAAATTTCTAAATATGTATTATTGAACAGTAATTTGATAAGTTGATACCATTAATGCATAAAAAGTAATTCGAGTAATATTGTTTGGATCCGAACTCTCCAATATATGGGCTGGTCATTTATTACAGTGGCTTGAGTCTTGAAGTGGTCTACTTTGGTAGTTTTAATGCAAGGAAACCGTCAGGTACGGTTACTGACTTGCGATAAAAAGCAGTATTTCAATACTAGATCAGTTCTAGATTGTTTATTTATAGATTCATGATTGATCATTGGATCGACGATTCAGATAGGTATTAATCAATTCAAATCAGTGATCCAAAAAATAATTAAAAATAAATAAAACAAAATAAAAATTGAAATAAGAGTTTAGAGGGTGAGGATTTATAAATGATACAAAAAACACTAGATAAACTTAAAAGAATATATGTATACACAGGAGAACTGGGCCTGAGACCCATACCATTGTCGAACCAATAAGGTCTCGACCGATTTCTATCTAGATCAGTGATCCATAGCAAAAATCATCGGATTTTAAAACACAAAAACAAAACCTCTTTCCAAATCTTGACAAAAATTATACTTATTGTCTTGACATTTGCAAAGTCAAAGATATAATCACATATTAGAACAAGAAATCAGAAGGAAAACTCAAGGTAAAAGATGAACTAGAAAAAAGAAGAGAGAAAGAGAGTACTTTGCTAATACTGAAAAAAAAACAAAAAGAGAGTATTCAACTACAGAAAGAATGGGCTCCCAGCCAGGATCCTTGGCACACCAGTCTCGGCCTCTTCCAAGGCATGTCTCAAAGCTTCACTTACCTACTTGTTTATAGAGAGAGACAGATTTTTGAGGGAGAGAGAGAGAAAAAAAGAGAGAGCGAGCCAAATTTGGCAGACAAGCTCCTTCAGCATTTACAAGTGAAAACACCATGCTCTGGTTTTGGATACTGTGATAAGCAGAGAGATCTTCTAAGTCATCGTTAATGTTTTCGGGTATATCATCGTTAAAATTTTTCGTTTTTTTCTCTTAAGGTGTTATTAGGGTGGTGTTAATAGGAATAGAGACCCCGACGTAATGACTAAGGGATCGGTTGTTATCACCAAGACCTAGCCCCTTTCTCGACCTTAAACTTTTGAAGTCGAAATTTGTACATGGAACCTGAACTACAGCTTCTCTTAGAAGTCTGGTGTTTTCAATTAAGCTTTCATAGGCAAAGTATTTCTGTTTTAATTACAAGGCTATTTTATCTTTCATTTAATATTGCATTTGCTGTCTAGCAATAAATAAATAAATAAAATAGGAATTATTATGCAACAACGCTGCCGATTGATCAAATCTTGCTAAAAAAATGCAGTTCCAGCATAAAAAACTTGCAAATCAATTATTTGTACCTCAAACATCATGACTGAAAAAGAAAATGCTTTCATGCTCACCCTCTCACAGCTTGTATAAGTACTCTTACTACCAGTTTTGCACTACTTTTGAAGATTCAAATTCGACCATCACATAGATTTGAGAGCCATCACAAGGGTTTTCGGCAACAAAACTGGGTTTTGGGGTGGTATCAATAGTCCCTGATATTCTCATTTTCAAAAAGGTCAAGTGTTCTAATTTTTTTGCTTTTCTTTTTGTTGGGGGTTTAATTCAGTCCATTATGCAATTAAAGAAGAAAAAAGTTTATATAAGATTGCAACCTTAAAATATAGAATTAAAGATGCACCTATTTAATACTGAAAAACCGTCTAATAGATCATCACGACGTCGAAATGTATGAATATGATCGTCCATTTTCGAGATTTTCATATGTTTATAGATCTACTTGATTTTTACTATTTTTGGAGTTTAAAATTTATAATTATGTATGAAAACAGATTTTCAAATAATCCTAAAAAAAGTTTACACCAAAATTACATGTTATAATAAAATTTGGAGGTGCGCCTTAATTGGATTGTTGCAACCTTATAGAAACCAAACCCATTAAAGTATATAAGAAGTATCGAATCGAGCGGTCGATCGTCCATCATGCCATTATTTGCACCTTCACATAACCAACTCCTTTCAACTGTCAAAGCATATAAAATGTAACGTCCTCCCACAGGAGAACAGTGTACACTTAGTCCCTCAAGTCATATGCATACTTAGGAAGATTTTTTGTCTTATTTTTTTTTTCTAATTGGAAGTTTTGGAATCCACTTTAAATCTTCATATAACCATTTTCAAGAAAGAAGAACAGATTTTGGATTCCAACAACTTGGATTGGCAATGCAATTTTAAATTGGACTGGCCCTGTCCAATCTTAGAACATTATTAATTTTAGGCACTTTTTTTTTTTTCTGAGGTTGTACTTTAGGTCGAGGAGTCGCATCCCCAAAATTTGAGGTTCTAAAAATTAATCTTATGTAGGGTTTTAACCAAGGGAATAGTTGTATGATATGCTGTAAGCTCTTGGCTCTCAACTTGTTCTGTCATGACATGTAGCCAAAGATATCAATTGCAATACTTCCATCATATCTAGTCTATGCTCTCCCATTGATGTGCTCTCAACCTTTAACTCCTTACTCATCAGCCAGCCTGCATTGAAGCACTTTGTGAGAGTTTATATGACTACTACATATGATCTCCTCAGTACCACCAATTCAAATGGGCCCAATTTATTCACATCTTTTGTGAGAATTTTTATGGTTACTGCATCTTCTGAAAAAAAAAACTCTCACCATGAAAAATTTTGGCCAGAGCTATGAAAATGAAAGGCCATAAGAAAAATTTAGAAATTTATGCCAGTTGTGCCATGAGAATGAGAGGGCATGAGAAAAATTTTGCGCCCATTTCTCCCAAATTTTGAAATCGAGTGGCTGAGAGAGAGATCATCTAGTTCTACCAGTAATCATTGCAAGAACACTTTCCCTCGCTAAAATGGTGGAAACGGCTGCGATCCCTTACAATAATCTCTCGCCTAACTATTGCAGATATGAGTTTTGTAGCTTCATGACAATCCCCACACACCCTCAAATTCTTCACAATCCTTATTGTTGTCCCCTCGCTGGTGGCAATGAGCCCGAATGCAATCGCAAGCTTCTCACTGTGAAACATTAGTGTACTTTCTTTATCCTCCTCATCAATGCTATGGTGAGACGCCATCTCAGTGTTTGGGACATAACCCATGAGCCTCAATCTCACTCCAAGGTCATTCACCATTTCATAGATTCGACCTGAATCAGGATGGGATCGATCACCCATAAAGAACTCATGCACCATGTTGTCCACCTCTATCCAACTGCAACCAGGTGTTTTCACCACCCCTTTCTCTCTCATTCTGAGTCTCCAATTCGCCGCCTCGTCCAACCTCCCCGTCGCTGCATAAAGGTTTGACAGATAGACATAGCTCCCCGAGTGCTCTGAATCTAGAGAGAGGATTCGCTTAACGACACGCTCACCTCTCTCGGTGTCCCTATGGATCCTACACCCACCTAAGAGTGCACCCCATACTATGACGTTGGGCTTGATAGGCATCGAGCATATGAGCTCTTCTGCCTCTTCTAACCGACCAGCTCTGCTCAATAGGTCCACTATGCACCCATAGTGCTCAATTGTGGGCTCGAGCCCAAGCTCAGAGCCCATGGTGTTGAAATACATTAGCCCTTTTTCTACAAGCCCAGCATGTGTACAAGCCGAGAGAACACCCATGAGTGTGACCCCATTTGCTTTCACTCCTTGCTTTCGCATCTCATCAAAGCGCACCAGTGCTTGAATTGCATGGCCATGTGTTGCCAGCCCACTTATGAGTATGCTCCATGAGACCACATCGCTTACTCTCATCCGGTCGAATAGTTGTTCGGCTTCCCCAATGCACCCACACTTTGCATACATATCCATAAGGGCATTGCCCAAGAAGAGATCAATAGCCATTTCGTGTTTGTTTATGTAGTGGTGGATCCACTTACCCAGGCCTAGGGCGCCAAGATGAGCACATGCAGAAAGTGCACTCACGAGTGTGACACCACACGGCATAATGTGCGACTCGTGAAGCAAGCGGCGAAAGAGGGTCACAGCCTCCGTGAAGCAGCCATTCTGTGCATAGCCTGCAATCATGGCATTCCAACACTCGAGGGTGCGATATGGGGCTGCCTCGAATACCTGCCGAGCAGCGTCTGGGTCATGGCACCTGCAATTGAGGTTCCAAAAATGGAGTTATGGAATTATAAAGGGCCTGGTCTACAAGGAAAACCTGACGGCAACAGAAAGGGAAAAAAAAAGAAACGAATAGAATCTTTGATTTTTTTGAAATTATGTGATGTCATGATCCATGTGATCGTCGTAACAGTTTGATCATTAAAGGTCATCAACATCCAATCAGTGGATTGATGATCGAGGGAGAGCCAGATGTTCAATTGAATGAATGACATGTTTTATGTAAGTCACTCTCCCTCTATCACCATCCAACCTATTGATGATCACCTCTATTTTTTATAATTAGAGATAAAAATATATTTTTAGCCCACCACAAAGATTTTTGCTTTTGAAAAATATCTTTCAATACTATTTAGATGTGCACCTTACTCTGATTGTTTAGGGCATCAACCTTATCGAACCCGTACCCTTTTAGAAATACAGCCATCATAACCCACACAGTTTGGTGTCTTTAGATAATGCATCCTCTGTAATATTTTTCTCACTGTAATTTACCCAAAATGATGGGAGGAAATCACATCATGCCGTTATATAATGGCTATTGTTTTCCAAAAAATGCTTGTGAGCTATGCATAACAAGCCCAGCATATGCGGCCCACAAAGCTGGGCTCGGACCGTATAGATCATGGCCTAGGCCTAGCCCAGCCTAACCTACCAACCCTCAACACTCGCTCGTACTATCTAAGGTTACATTGATCATTTTAATCTGTGATGTGAGAATTGGACAAGCCACTAGACTATTAAGAGGCCCGATCCACTCAATACCAGTCTGACTATCAATCTGGTTGCACTTAACTTTAAAAAAAGAAAAGAAAAATAGTTTAGAAATATATTTTTTTAAAATAAATCGCAATTCTAACATGTCAAAACTGGTTGGTCCGACTAACAAAAAGTAATCAAATTACAGCTTTAGATGACAAGCTACTAATTGGACCGGCAATCCGGTCCCAACTTGATAACTATGAATGCAATCATTGTTTAAACATTATTTGAACCTTGCCTGCAATAGCCCGCTATCATAGCGCACCACGAAATAGAGCTCTTCTCAGGCATCGCATCAAAAATCGTGCGCGCCGTGCTTACATCACCGCAGGTAGCATAGCCCGAGACCACTGTATTGTACAACACAATGTCTCTCTCCGCCATTCCCTCAAACATTTGAAGTGCACATTTGGGCTCATCAGTCTTAAAGTACATATCCATCAGAGAATTGGAAACAAAGAGATTGCTCAGGAAATTGAGCTTGACAGCATAGCCATGAAGGGCTCGGCCTTGACGGGAGGCCCTAAGGCCCGAGCAAGCCTTGAGGAGAGAGGTCAGCGTGCAGGGATCTGGGCTCGGGCCTTGCTCTCTCATAGCTCGAAAAATTTGGAGGGTGGTAAGCCATTGGGAGTGGTGGGCGTGGGCATGGAGGATGCAGTTCCAAGAGAAGAGGTTGGGGTGAGAGAGGAGAGAGAAAGTGAGATGGGCGTGGGGGAGGTTAGAGAGAGAAAGGGAGGAGAGGAGAGAGATAAATTTGACAGCAATGAAGTTGTGGGTGCGGTGGAGAGAGTGGGTGATGAGTTGGGCTTGGATTTGGAGGAGGTGAGAGAGGGAGAGAGAGGTGCATCGTGTGAGGAGACAGATTATGGTTTTGGTTCGGTCTCTTAGAGGTGGTCGTTGTACTGCCAGGTTGCTGGTGCAAATAAGCAGGAAAAAAAACATAGACGCATGAATCAGAGTGTTTCAAAACTGGCATTCACCCAAATCAAAATCAGAGTTTTAAGTCGGAACAAACCAATTCTTAGTATGGTACAGGTTAACTGGTTCTCTCCCAAAAGCCCTCTTAATTTTTTTTTTCTTTTGAAGTTTGTCTAATGCATTTTTGGATCCCTTAAAAGAACAATTGTTTCATGCGGAGGTATCAGTTTAAAAACAATTCAAACTAACGGGTTCAAATGTTTTTTTTAATAGAATATTATTTTTAGTTTTCAAAGTTCATTTATTTTTTCATATTCATGATCTTCATGATAAATATTATATATTCTCTAAAAATTAGGATCGACTTTTATTTCAAAAATAAATTTATTAAGAGGCCCGTATTTTTACATGTGCGGGTTTGGCCTCATGCTAACCACGTCCCCCTAAAATTCCCCTAGCCATAAATCTTTATTTTAATATTTATTTTATTATATATATTTTTTTAACATAGGTCTAAGAAGGGTGAGGACTTTAAAATTTTCCTTAACTTGCGTCAAGCATAGGTAAATGAGGTGGATTGTGTTGGGTAAGACAATTGTGAGACCAACTTTTCTTTATAGGGCAGAATGTTGGTGATTCAAGAAATGACATCCTCATAGGATGAGTATAACTAAGATGAGAAATAATGAGTGGCAAAACAAAAAGTGATAGAATTTGAGATGACTGCATTCGTGAGAAATTAGATATAGCTCCGATAGGCTATAAGATAAGAAAATGTAGACTTATGTGGACAAGCTATGTGTATAGCAGACCTTGTACAACACAAGGGATAAGTCCAAAAAGGCATGGTTGCAAGTAGTGAAAAAATATACAGGGACTCATGACCTCACTAAGGTTATAGCCCTTGATAAAGCAAAATGACATACTAAAATTCATGTAGTTACCCCCAAATAGTTGGAAAAAAGCAACGACGATGATGATAATGATTATATTTATTTTTTAATAATTTTTTCTTATTAATCATTAGGAACTTGATATATAGATCAAACTCAAGATGTATGGCTATGAAAAAATAAAATAAATTGAACAATATATCTTGGAACACATTATATGGACAACCATTTTCAAGATTTTTAAGTATCTATAAACTTGCTCATTCTGCACTATTAGAGCCTACCTTCAAATAGTGTCGAGAAATGTGGTTTCAAATGCGGGAAATCGTTGTGATAGCCTTAAAATATATTTTCATATTTATTTATAAAGTTTAAAGCTTCAAAAATAGTGTTGACCGATAGATCAAAAGAAAAGTTTATAAAGTTTATATAGAGCCAAGGCTCTAAACAATCCTACCTCTAGAAATTCACTAGAAGAGGTGGTTTTGATGTCAAAATATCTTCAATTTTCAAGTTTTCCAATTTTCATTTGATGTCAACATATCTTTAATTTTTTGAAACTTGTAAATTGATGATATTTTGACTATAC